TTCAACAAAAGTCAGCTGACAGTTGCTATGTGCATTCTTTTCTTCCAGCCAAATTTTGGGTACTTTAAATTTCAGGACGCCCTCCGCCTACCTCCGCCGCCGAGCCGAGCGGCCGAGTCGCATCTACCCCCTCCTCCACCCGAGCGCTTCGGGTGGCTCCTATACAGCTCCCGTGTGCTCCTCCGGCAAACAGCAGACAGCAAAGCAGAACAACGAGAACGAGCAGAACTGGGAAAATTGTTTACACGGTCTTGAGAACAAACAATCACTACTTAATCGTCGATTGTGGTAACTAAACTAAGTTTTAAACCATGATTTCAAGGAGATGGAAGATCCCATCATGAAGAATTCCATTATCTTATTTTGTCTTGTGCATAACCTTAATTGAATAGCGCATACATGCTTATGATGCACATGCACACATGTTGTGTTAATCATACTCTTCTCGCAGATTCCCCTTACTGAATATCATGGGTAGCGCTGACGATTTGTCTATGCTAATGAAACCTGAAAGCCCTCGCCAGCAAGAGATTAAGGAGGAGTATGGACTGAACGTGAAACTACTTCCAAGTAATGATCAGGTCAAAGAACTTCAGACAATTCTCAGAGACCGGTAAATACATCCTCACTTTATCATATTTGTTGTGTTAAAGGTGCACGATACTCATCAAATTATTTATCTAGGAACACAACACGGAGTGATTTCAAGTTTTATGCTGACCGTTTAGTAAGTATATCATAAATTGTAACTGCTTTATCTTAATTCAAAGTTAGATCTTGTCAGGTCATTTCTATAATTATCATAACATAGCTTTTACTTAACTTTTAATTCATTAATCTATGACTGGTAGTTCTCTTAGTAAAACTTGTTTCGTTTTTTGTAGATTCGCCTGGTGATAGAAGAAAGTCTGAATCAATTACCATTCACAAAAACCACAGTTACAACTCCAACAAACGAACTTTATCAGGGATTAAAATACCAAAGAGGTAATTGTGGTGTCAGTATTGTACGAAGTGGGGAAGCCATGGAACAGGCATGTATCACAGTTTTTGAAATCATGATGACTAGATATGACGTATTGATTCCAAATGTACCACCTTTACAGGGACTGAGAGACTGTTGTCGCTCTATAAGGATAGGAAAAATTCTTGTAGAGTCTGATGCAGATACTCATGAAGCTCGAGTAGTTTATGCTCGCTTCCCAGAAGACATAGCTCAAAGAAAAGTTCTTTTAATGTATCCAATTATGAGTAAGTTATTTTTCTTAATTTTTTGTATCCAAAGAGGTCACTTACCAGGTAATTCCTAAAAATTTCTTAATCAGCTTGGGAATATTTTAGATTATATAATCATCGAATAAACTTTGAGACTGTCCAGTGGTCAGGGGAAAAGTAAAGGGTACTCGTTTGCGTTTGCTTTGGGGCGACTCAATGGCCATGTTGAGCTGTTGTCTGTTTCCCACCATGCCATTTTTCTCTGTCCTTCCTGGCCAACCTGTATATACGAAGTATTTAAATTTTATTTTTTCACCTTTCTGCGAAACAGGCACTGGGAACACAGTTATCAAGGCTGTGGCTGTACTGAAAGAACATAATGTTTTGGAAGAAAACATAATTCTTTCTAACCTATTTTGCACACCAGTTGCATGTCGGTCAATTACAGCTGCATTTCCTCAGGTCTGTTGAATGTATTCTGTTTTAAGATATATGAACCCAATCAGATTAATCTAATCTCACAAATGTATAATCTGTTTCTACTTTCTTGACAGATGAAGATTTTGACTTCTGAACTGCACTTCGTGGCTCCAAATCACTTTGGACAGAAATATTTTGGAACAGACTAGTTAGAGCAATGTTGTTACTGAGGAGAGAGGAGAACACCAAGGAGTTGTTACAATATATTTCCTCGCCATCCACTCCGATTGCAGTCATGTCCATTTGCCTCACATCAATGACCTGTTCTTGATTTTTCACCTTGGTTACTGTAGTATTTTATGCTCAAAGTTTGTGCACAAGTATTCCATTAAGAATGAGTTTTGATGTACTTAAGAATTTTAATTTTAATAGACATGTGCTCACATGTCCTTTTGGTCAATGAATGAAATTTGATGACAAAATTGTCAATATCGTATTACTACAATCTAAGAAATAACTTCAGAAGATAATATTTATTTTCATTGTTTGAATTTCTAGAATTTTTATATGTTTGCGGTGATTTTTTTTTCTTTTCCTTAAGCCATAGTCTTCAATTCAATGAAATAATTTGTTGATTACATTTTGAAGTCTTCCCAGTTGTGGTTACTGCAAAAACTCTAAAGCAATGTTTTATGTACTGTGATATACTTTCTCTGTATACCTCATGAAAGGTGTGCCGAATTCTGTCTACAACTGTATAAAGTGTACACTGAATGATTTTTATCTTCATGCATGTGATTGTGTTGTTCCGATTGGAAATTATTTATTATAGATTGACATGAAAAGTCTCCCTTCTCGTGTGTGTTGTGATGTTTAAATATTTTTACAAATACATCTTCAAAGATTTTTTGCTATGCAAATTGACTATTCAAGGATATAGTGGATGTAAATGTGCAAGCTCAATTCATGACTTGTTCGTTTTACTGCAATATTTCTTTAATTCAGTGGCTGTACGTATTTATTTTTTGAATATGAATAAAACATGATTTTAAAATAAACTGACCAGTAACAGACTTTTTTTCTAACTTCCATACTGTAATCAGAGATTTGCACAATCAGCTTGCTTGCTGAAATGTCTGATTTAGGAGGTTGGTATCCAGTTTATTTCATTTTTATCATAATAATTCTATATTTAAAAACTTTCTGGTGGATGCTGCTGATCATAGTCACCAACAGCTGAAAGGGAAGCCTTCCATTGAGGGAACAACCAAGTGATCAAAAAAAAGGAAAATAATGGTAGACACTCAAAGAAGCTATTTACAGGTTTGATATTTACTGACATACATGTTAGTCATACAACAAAATTTTAAAATATAAAGAAAGGATCACCTCTACACACAAAAAGGGACAAGAAAAGTATATTCCTTGGACTTAACTGACAAAGCAAATTAGGTTGAAAACTTAAAACAACTGTACACGTTGATGAAGATGTCAATGAAGCTTCAAAAAACAAAAAAGCCCCTCATATGAAGCCCCCCTTCTGAATATATTTGTGTAAAAATTGACTCACAAAAATAAGAGAAACCATAATTGGGAAATGGTTTCATGCCCATGCGATAGATGTAATTCACTTAACATCTGCTTTGCTTTGGTTTTATTCCAATAAGTCATTGTTTGGAGGAGTTAAAATTATTCCTCTGATATTTCCATTTCTGAGTCATGCTCCCCATCTGTCTTAGTCTCCTGTTCAACAATATTTTCATCTGTCTCTGTATTTTCATTTTCATTGGGAGCATTGGCATCATCCTCATCATCTTTTTGTTTTCCAGTCTGAAAAAGGAAGATGGCTATTATTTCTAGTATCAACAGGCTCAATGCAATATAAACAAAAGTAATGTAATTTCATTTTACATCATCTTCAAATGCTACCATCTCCTCTGTATTCTCATCTTGTCTCTCATCTTCTTTATTCTCACTGCAAACAGTAAATTAGCATTCATCATTCTAACACAAGACCTTGACGCACTATTCTGTTGTATAATCTCAAAGAAGAAGTACTGGATTTTACCCGTGCTAAAAATTATTTGCAAGGGAAGTATATTGTTCAAGGCATTAATGATACAGATAGATAAATCTGAAAGAAAAACCATGCAGGGGTTTGATGAAAACACCTAACTGGAAAAAAGTGGAAATCAATCCCAAAGCTCAGGACTCGAGCGAGGTGATTGTCGATCATCATCCCTTGCTTTAGCAAATTCACTGTAGCCAACTTCATACAGCATTTTCTTGGATTTCTTGCTAAGATATCCACGTTCCCTGTCTTTGTCACCTCCATCACCAGATGAGTCTTCATCCCCACTGCATGATTTAAGTGCAGAAGCATTAGTGGTGTTAGTTAAAGCAAAGAAAATGTGATCAGAAGCAAAGAGCAAAGCAGAGTAGTTCTCTAGTTGAAATAAGCCACGGAAAGAATGTTTGATATAAGTACTGAAAATATCTTCAAGAGAAATTAAATTTACCTTGATTCTGCTTCTGTCTGGTTTTTGTTGGCATTCTGAAAAAAGAGAATAAAATAAAGGATTACTACAAGGCATCCAGAAGTACAGTCACTAGGATGACTCAAATTTAATTTTGAAGTGAACAGTCATGTTCAATGGAAGGTTGTGAGTAAAATGGAGGCAAACAAGAGACGTACACAGATTTGTAGTAAAAGGCTTAACAAAGACCTTACCTCATGTCTCATTGGTTCACAAAAACCCAAATGGTAATAATAAAATTATATGTGATTGAGGTATAGAGTAAACGGATGTTAAAGGACAAATGGATCACAAATTGTTATAAACAGGATTTTATTGAAATTATGGATACAAAAGCAGGTACAAATAACTCACAGAAAATGTTTAGGTCATGCGGTTGTCAGAGATCCTAAATGAAAAGTGTAAGAGGATATATCCGAATAAGTATGCAACAAAAGTGTATTTGGACACCCGTAAAATGAAAAAGTATGACAGGAAGTCTCATCTTAGAGGAAATGTGTTGAGGGTCTCAGGTGCAAACTTGCAGACTCACAAGAGTCGGTCCCTTTACAAGCCACAAGCCACAGATGTACCACACTGTCATTATTATTCTAGGTGAACCAATATAAAATTATGACCGTTTACACTCTTTTAAGAATTTTACAATGGCTTATTTGAAATTTGCTTGTGTTAAGGAAGGAATTCAACATAAAATGTTGAATGTCACTCTCATATCTATGTGAGAGAATTGCTCACAAATACATGTGTCAAAGTTCTCTGCTGAGCTCCCTCAATAGATTTAGGATTTCTGTATTGATGAAATTAGCTCTTGGGGCAAAAACACAAAGATTGAGCAAAATGACTAGACAAGTTACCAACATGCAGAAATCAACACAAGCAAACACAAAATTGTTGTTAAAGAAAACTGCCATTGAAATCCAGGAGTAAGGGGAACCTGCTAAATGTAACTAAGATTTCCTTATAGTCAAATCAGTTCAAATCAATCCTGTATTTGCTTCTTTCACTGTCACTAAAGGAAGCCAGTGTCCATTAAAATATATCATAAAAATAATAAAAAAAAGAATGTCATGAAAATAAATAAATATGATTTTTAAAAACTTCGAGTCATAAATTAAGATTAAAATTTCAAATAATAATTATAAACTAGCATTAAAGGTGATTGCTGTCAACTTTGAAATAAAATTTCCAGCCATAACATAAAACAGCATTGAAGCTTCCCTCAACAAAAATACATAAGGAATGTAATGAAATAATACCCCCTTCCCAACTTGGTTTAAACGAGAATACTGACAAAAATTTACAACAGCTGAAATCATTTTCAGCATCTTACACAGTTTTGATTGCCTCAAAAATTTGTTGATTGATTACTTGTCTACAAGAATAACTTACACAAATCCTCCCACAAGTACACAATATGCTCCAGTAACAATCAGAACCCTATTATTCATTCATTGATGCTGCCTGGGGAGATGAGCTTTCTGAGAGCTTTGAAATAAGTATTTAATTTAGAAAATGGTTCATCTGCACTGGTCTTTCAAAACTAGCAAGGAGAGCACTCATTCGTTCATTACTAAGAGAATTAAGTTTGTTGTTCAGCACATCAAAGTGCAGTGCATTCCAAAACTGGTTAAGCAATTAGTGCTACAGAAAGTACCATCACACTGTTACGCATGCCAAGACAAGATCATACCTCATCATCATTTCCATCTCCATTTGCATTTGAATCATCCTCAGTAACAACTTTGGTTGGTGGTCTGGGTCTTGGTCTAGATGGTTTGGTTTCTTCCTCAGATTCTTCTTCTGATTCCTCTTCTGGTCTCTTACTTTCATCATCTGATTCTTCCTTTGGTTGTGGAGGTGGAGATGGCTCAGGAACAGCCATTTTCAGAAATGGCAACAGTTTTTCATTTTCATTGGAGAGGTCAAAACCAATAAAATCCTGCCCATGAATGATACCAAAATATTCTCAGTACTAATGAATTATATGTATTGTCAGTTACGGATTCCAAAACTTTGGCAGTTAGTGAGTTAATTATACAGTTGACTGGGAATGTGTTAAGTAAAAACATTAGAAAAGGTATGACTTCAGTATAGAGATAAATAACGCCATTCCTAGTTAGTACAATGTGTAAGTCCCATCTCTCTTTTATGCATTAGCCAGAACTCCAACAGAGCCATCTTTGCTGACAATTGCAGGGCTGGTGCCATGACTCTCAACCTTAAGGAAGATCTCAAGCTCCGACACTTCATTGGCCATGTCGAAGTCATCATAATCCTGTCAATATAAGTTAGTATAAGTAAGGCAAACAATCAATGCTGAAGTTGGTTAGGGGCTTATTAGCTAGAGCACAAACCAAGCAAAATACACAAAAAAACAAAAAAAAAACATGTTTCACGACAATGCATGCCTAAAGAACCACTTTACACACTAAGCAGACTTCCTAAAGAACACCCCAGAGTCAGTTTTCAAAAAGCCTTTTAATATACTATGTGTTAGATAGAAATTTTCAATAAATAGTATTAACTTGGAAACTACACACATCGATGTCAAAGTTAAATTATGTTAGCAAGTTAATATTGACACTACACATAGTGCTGGATGAAAAGAGACAAAAAATATACTGTTAAAAAAGGGCACAAATGCTGAAAAGTTACTAAAAGAATTTGCTTTAATGGAAAAAAAAGTTGTGTTGAAGTGCAAAAAAATGAAATCTCTTGTGCTTTGACACCTCCTTGACTGCCTCTGGTACTTGGTGATGTCTAGGACAGAAACTATTGACACTGAGCTAGCTCACTGCAACTATGACTTATGAAACCAATCCCACCAATTACCTCAAGGGGCCACATGATAAAAAACTACTATTGAAACTGTCATCGTTAACTTTACGAAGGCTGTACAGCACCTATTTAAAATAAGGATCTACACCAAACATTGTAATATATGTAAATGATGCTTTAAAAAATATCTTTCAAACAATTTACAGCAAGATTATACAGCTATTTTGGATTAACTCAACAAGTGGAAATGTCTTACCCCACAGTACTCATCATCGTTGAAGATCTGAGGCGGCAAAGGGTGTTTCTGATCTCCACGGGGTTTACTGTTCTGTTGCATAAATTCCTTGTCCGACTCTTTTCCTGGTTCCGTGATGTCAATAATTTCACAGGGTATATTTTTGCTCTCTAGAATCATGAGAACTCTCTGCTGCCTTTTTTTCACCTGGAATAATCAAGAGCAAGCAAATTGATTAAAGACAAATATAAAATTTTAAATAAGTACACTAGGGTAAAATATAAAGGAGTAGACCAGGCACATTAGAAGTAGTTTGACACAACCGGAGCTTAACCTCACTTCTACCAGAAGCAACGCCCCAAATAGTGGAGAAAAGCAAGGTTAGACGGGCATAAGAGAAATGCATTTTCTAGCAATTAAATGCTACTGTACTTCAGTAAAATCGGGAAAGAAGGATCATGAAGAGGCAAATGACTCAGATGCGGATATTGAATCAATCATATGAGCACTTTCAGCTTTCTAGAGACAACTTACCTCCTTGTTCCCAGAAATTCCGGAAACATACACTCTAATGACCATTTTCAAATATTTTAAAAGCTCCTCGGACAGGCAAAGAAAGGTCCCTGTCGCTCCCAGAAAAGAGGCTTTAGTGGCAAAGTACTCGCGAGTAGATTAATAAGACCAAGACCCTTCACTTTCTTTCTCTCTCTTTCCTGCTATCCCCCTTTCTCTTCTATCTCTCTCCTTCTCCGTCTTTCTTCTTGCTTTCCTTGTTTTGCTTTGCTGTTATTCTGAGGGGTGGGGGGATGTGGTGACGTCAGCGTCAGCGGAGTGCGAAGAGCGCTTGATTTGAACTTGTGTGACTTCGGTTTACACAAGTTTCCGCGGTTTAGGCTTGGGCATTAGATGCCTTTTGACTTGGTGACGTCCCATTGCCTACAATCAAAAACATAGTAATCTCTAAGATGATACTCAATAGAAAATGTAATGCACCAGCCGGGGGGAGGGGCGGCCGGGGTAGGCGGTGGTGGGAGCTCATGGTAACGGAACAGGGCGCAACAAGTGCAGCCACGCCTCCTGGCATCGGCTCTAGGAGGCTAGCAAGATAATAAAAAAACATAGATAATAATGAGTGAGGGTGCTCTTGAGGAAGAGAGGCAGGAAGCACTGACGGATGTCAAGGTATGCATGAGGACGTCATATTAGCAGCGGGGGCGTAGTAAGGGTCGGCATAGAGGGGAAGGGGAGGGGGCATGGTGAGTTGCCTACATACAGGTGTTTTGTAGCTCAAATTGCCTACCCTTCAGGCCAACAGCCCCCCCCCCCATATGTTTTAAATGGAATGGACACAAACTCGCGAGAGATTTTAGCCAATAAAACTGCGTCACTTTGACCGCAGTTCCGGGTGATTCTGAGAAGACGCAGGCGTGGGCGGGTTTGCCAACCCAAGGGGCTATGACGCCGTTCTGGTAGAGCGGGTAGGCAAACCCGCTCGCACCTGCGTCTTCTGTGAATCACCCGGTCGTATATGCCGTTAATGGCCCATTGGTGTCGTGTTGGTGTGTAACTGGCGAGTCACCGACAGCCTCGTCTTTCAGGTAAAAGTAGAACAAGTGAAATTGGAGGACGTGGAGCCGTCGGCTTGCGGTAGCGCAGACCAGGACGGCGAGAACAACGAGGGCCTCGAGGAGGACCTTGCTGCCCGCCCTGCTCCCTCGCCGCCCTCCCCCGCGGCGCAGGGCGAGCGACAACAGCCGCCCGCGTCGAGGCGCGACCGAAGACGCCGCCGGGGGCGGGGGCGGCGGCGCACGGGGCGGAGCTGGCAGCGAGGGAGGCACGGCGGCGGCCGGCAGCATCAGGGGGGTAACCCCTCTCGTCCCACTGGCCGTCACGCGGGAACGCGGCGCTTCGGCCTCGGGTGGACGCCGCAGCAGGATGCACGTCGTGCGCCCTCATCGAGGGACTCGTCGTCGTCCTCCGCGTCTTCGCGGTCCGCGCGTTCCCCCGAGGCCGCCGAACGGGCCGGGGCCAGGGCCAGGAGCAGGAGCCCGCGCAGGCCCCGGACTCGCAGCAGGTGCGTTGTGCGTCAGCCGGACGAGACAGGCGTGCTACACGTCACACATCACGACCGCTCGCCATTTCGCGTAAGGATCGTCCGGAAAGTTCGTCCGATTTTACCAGCATCGCTTGACAAGTAACTAAAGCTCGGCGCCTGCGAGACTCAAGGTAGGCCGACCCGCACTACACTCGTGCACTGCAGGCAGCAAATTGTCTACCCACCAGGCGCTTTGAGAGGTTGCAAGGGCTAAACTTGGCAGGTTCGTAGCGGCGAATGACGGACGTACTTTGTGGATGGTTTCTTACAAGATGGAAGATTTGGCAAGACTGGAAAGAGCTCGGTGGTTACTTAAAATCGCGATCGGCTGTATAATCCGCAAGCACGGTCACTACACCACCAGAGCGGAACGCGTAACACAAGGTAGCACCCTCGCCTCCGCCTCGCCGCAGCCTCGACTTCTCCCCGCTGTCGGGGCTGACGCCCACTCCCGGAACCCCTCGACCCGCCCCGGAGCCCGAGCGCTCGCAGCCCCAGGAGTGCTTCGTGCCGGACTGCCCGTGGCGGGGCCCTCAGGACCAGGCGAGCGCGCACGCCCGCGAGCGGCACGGAGCCATGACCACGCCCGGCCCGGCGCTCCGGCTGGCCGTACCCCTCCTCGACAACCAGGTTCGAGCACGTCCAAAAGGCGGGTCCGAGGAGAGACGACCGCTTATTCTCTGGACTCGATAGTGACTGAGATTAATAGACCCTTAAGGCCTTCATTTTAGGACAAATTCGCAGTAGTCTCATTCGGTGTGGATATGTTGTTTGTATGAGGACGGAGTGTTTGAATCGGATGGCCAGCCGTTCGTTCTGATGAGATAGGATCGCATCGTTGGTCCCGCACGGGACTTATTCCTCCGGTTGCAGGACCTGGAGTTCATGCGGCTGGTGGACACCCTGGACGAGCTGTTCATCCTGCAGCTGAGGCGGCGCGCGGGCGCCAAGCGCAAGGTGCAGGCCGCCGTGCGCCTGCTGGGGCCCCGGACGCGCGCCGCTTCCTTCATGTACCTGGTCCAGATGCAGGTAGGGACCCGGGTAGGGAGGGCACCGGCAAAGGCGCCACTCGTAGTTTTATTTACGAAAGCACCCTTACAGTTCTTATCGGGGAAAAAAATATATTCCATACAATTCCGCGCTTTTGAGTTGCCCCCTCGACATGCGGGCGCTCAGGTTCTCTCTCCGGGCAGGTATGCAACTTCTCGTGCTCCCGCAGCAGGTGGGCGAGGAGAGCGCGGAGCGCGGCGCCACGCGCGTCTCCTTCCTCGTGAGCCCCGCGCACTCGTGGCTGGACCCGCCCGCCGACACCATGCGCACGCTGTGGTCCGCCCGGCACTTCGCCAAGCCGCTGCGGCAGGACGACGAGCACCGCGTCCTGGAGCTCAGCATCACGATCCAGAGGGTGCAGCAGGAGCAGCAGGAGCAGCAGCAAGAGTAAGAACACGGCCACGAGCTCACAACTTGGGAAGTTCAGAGGTATAACGCATCGGGTGCAGCAACACTCAACAAGAGGGCATTTCAAAAACAAAGTATTTTATTGTAAAATTAGAAACGTATTATGATAAAATTAATACAACTACTTATTCGTCGTGTGAAAACGTAACAAATGATTAAAAAGCACATCCTCGAAAATTCGTTCACAATTCGAGAATGGAGCGACTGGCTAATATACTTTTTGTACTCTGTCAGTGAATGAGATCTCTAGCAACCATGCCAGCCAAGAGCAGAGCACAGTACTGTTTTTTTGAACACTTTTATGTAACAGGAAAAATAGTCTAGTGTTTCTATCTGAGAAACATACAGCGCAATACGGTTCCGAGCCTATCACCCGCACCCGTCACGAGCCCCTTTCAACATTTGGGCTGTCACCGCTATCAGCTCCTCGTCACGCAACGGTCAGGTCGGCGTTCAGCAAGTGCAGGGCGCGTTTGGCGGCGGCCCGGGTGCGGCCCGCGGCGCAGTCCTTCGGGCAGCCCCCGGAGTCGATGAGTCGGAGGGACGGGCAGGACGAGGCGAGGCGCAGAATCTGCGGAACGCTCATCTCCTGGAACAAGGACGTCAGCAGTCTGGGATTCAATGCCACTCAGGACTTCAGCAAAACGTTTAAAAACAGCATTTTTAATCAGGGGTTGTGGTTATGGTCGAGGGAATGTCCAATACGCCCCGTACCACTGGTTAGACATTTTTGTTATACTGTAACGTGTGGTCGGGTTGCCTACTCGCACGGCGCGCTAAAGTACAAGATACCACGACGCTTATGAAAAGAAATCGATAAATTATGTGTACACCGGGCGAAACATTCCGAACGCACGGGTGCGTGCGGCATAGCATAACGACTGCAGCCACCTCACCTTGGTATATTCTAAACATCGTTATTCCGATGGCAGTGGGCTGACTTACCGAGTGCCAGTCGAAGTGCAGGGCCTCGAGGTTCTTGAGGGTGGCCAGGTCCTTGATCCAGCCGTCCTCGACGCCCACGTCGTGCAGGCTGAGCACGCGCAGCCCGGCGCACAGGCGCACGCAGGCGCGCACCGTGGCCCGGTCCAGGTTGCGGCCCACCAGCTCGAGGCGGCGCACGCTCGAGGCGTCCAGGTTGGAGGCCAGCCAGGCCAGCTGGCGGAGCGCGTGCTGCGCGGAGTGCCAGTGGTAGCTGCACACGCGCAGGCCGTGCAGGGCGGCCGGCGGGTGCGCGGGCCAGGTCGCCGAGTGGAGCGCCAGGGTCGCGCCGCGCCACAGCGAGGCGTCCGCCAGCACCCCTGCCAGCGCGGGGTGGCCGTCGAGCGCGCGGCCCGCGGCGCACAGCGAGGCCACGTCCAGGTAGCCCAGCACGCGCAGCAGCAGCTCGGGGGGCAGGTGCACCAGCTGCACGCGGGACCCCGACTCCTCTGGTTCCTCCGGCTCCGCGTGCTCAGGGCGGCTGGGAAATGACAGAATATTGTTTGAACGGGTTCACAAGCAGGAAGTGCCAGGCGCCGCATAGGGAATTAATTCAATGGAAATCGACGTCAAAACGATATAGATTCGATATGAATTTCTCACTGGGCCCACCACAGCTATCTGGATCCGTTTTTGTTCTTCTTACTTCCTTTTCAAGCTCCATTGAAGTACCAAATAAAGTTATCCACTCTCGTGATCACGGCATTGTGTACTCCGCGGTCAAACTGCATCGCCTGCAGCGCGCGCTCCCCGAACGAGTAGGCAACCCCCACTCACGCATGCATGCATGCATGCATGTGGTGCAGTATGGCGAGGGTGGTGTTAAGCCAACCCACATCCACCTAGGCTACAAAACCCCTGGATGCAATTTGCTCTACCCCCCCCCCTCTCGGTCCACCCTTACTGCGCGCCTGGTTGAGACTCCGGCGGTGTTGGTCCACTGGAGTGCACTCACCCGATGCTGTTCTCGACGCCGCCATGGCCGTCGGCGTGGTGTTGTTGGGCGCCGTCCCTGCTGGACCTGCTGGCCGGCCGCCGGCGCGCCGAGACCGAGCTGCCCATGGAGCCTGGTGCGCTGCACGACGCCAACGCCAATGAGATGAAGATGAGATGCTTCGGGGCGCGCGCAAGCGCTGCACCCGCACACACAGACGCACGCACGCACACACACACACGAGTGTTTATCGCAAGCTGACCGCCAGACTGCTGAACGGGCGGGCGAGGCTGACGCCGCTGACGCCGCTGACGCCGCGGCTGTTGCGCCCGCACTGCCCTACAATACACCAGCCCGCAGCTTGATTGACCCCGCGGGCAGCTCGGCCAGCTGCACTGCTGCCGCGGTCCCGACGAAAGGGAAGAGCGTCGTCGGCCGCCGTGGCCGCCGTCCTGCACAACAGTGTCGCGTCCCGCCGGCACTCCCCACACTGCGTCCTGCCCGAGCGGTGTGCCGCCCTGCTCGAGGCAGGCTCGGGCTCAGGCTCCAACCGTCCCACCGGGGAAATTTAGGTAAAGCGAGTGTTTGTGTTTACTCGCGCCGGGGTGTGGTGGCCTGGTGGTTATCCGCCGCCCCCACACCCGCCC